AAACACCAAGTTAACTACACAAAAATCTATTTTACATCACCACTGGCATCCAGCTTAATGCAGCCATAATAATTTCCCTCCTCCTGCCAGTGCTGCAGCTAAACTGGTTGCCCCGGGAGACATTGCTTTGCTGCAGAGAGTCAATAAACCAAATGGATTGAGATGCACGCAGAAGAACGGTTAAATGACCTCTAAGGTCCCGGTGGAGGAAATCAGCAAAGTGCCACAAAACCCAAAGCAGGAATGCAGCGTTTTAAAAGAAGTCTGCTGCAACTTTTCCGTGTTTTTTCCTCCTCGGTTTAAAAACGTGACAGAATGTAACGGCGTCACGTATCAGCAGGTGATGCAACAATTGCTGGTGAAAGAACAGAAGCAGGAAAATCTGCTCTAAAATGGGAAACTTTGTGTAATTTTCTTCAACATGTTCATGTTTTCTCTGTGGAAAACAGGAAGTGAATGTTTGATTAATGTTTGATTCATTTACACATTGCTATTTATTTGTTTTACTTTTAATTTTGCAGAACGTTTTAAAAATCATAAGTAATCTTTTTTTATTCTAACCATACTGGACAACATTTAATAATAACGGAGAAGCTGAGGTGATTTATCTAGACGAAAACCATTTCTAATCCACTGATCTCTATCATTCAGTGGATTGCTGATTGGCCGAATAAAGTGAAGCCACCGTCCGCCATGTTGGTACTCCCCACCCTCACAGAAACACGCAGTAATATTGCCTCCCTGTGCAGCATTCGGCTGCCAAAACCAGCAGTTTTCTGGCTGCAGGAAGACGTTCCACAGGTCATTTCCCAGTCAGTGGGATACTTTAAAGTGATCTTCATTGAAAAGTACAGTGCTTTTCCTTCAAAAAGAAATTCAATGTGACCCAAAACGTTTGAAAGGTGTAGTAAATAACAAATTCAAAGCAATCAAACTGCTTTGAAAACAAATATTTAAAGACAAAGTGTATCTGTGTTCTTGCAGCTACTGAGCCAAATAATTTTACTGAAATTACTTTTCAAGATATTTATGTCTCACACCTACAGAACAATAAATCATTGGTGATTTATACTTTAACATCTGCATGCATCATTTAGGGAGGTAACATTGGATCACTGCTTCAGCTCCTTCAGTTATTTACTGTCACAGGTAGGAGCTTCGGCTGGAGAGGAAATGTTGGAGCCGCTATGATTTAAGGAGGACCGACCCTCGTACGCTGAAATTAGGACCGGCCCACCGGTCAAATGGTGGACCCTAACCCTAACCGTAACCCGGTATCACAGATTACCATTCCCAGCCTGCTTCCTGCTACATTTGGTATAAAACCTCCACTGACGTAAAATTTAACACCAACCCGAGTGCATTTGGTCCCACTCTGAATTAGCATTAAATTTACTCTCTACATGGTGTAGATCTACCTCCAGTTGTTATAATAACTATAAAAGAGTCAATGTAATTTGACACTACATTTTTAATTTACTGTGAATAAAAAATAGCCAGAATGATTAGTTCAGCTGCTTTATAGAATAAACCACAGGAACTGTTCATCCACTGAATATTTCTCAACATTTTAGATCTTTGACTCAAACAAAGATCTAAAATTTATAGAATCGGTCTTTGAGGATGCAGATATTGGGATACACCAGCTTTCATGTTTGTTTGTCCAGTTTTGTGTCACAGTAATATCTGACCAGCTGCACGGATCAAACGCAGACTGAAATATCGGCTCTAAATGACCGGCAGATCAGAATCTCAGAAAATCTGACTTTTTTTTTTAATCTAATTCGCCAAAAATAGACTTTTTTTTAAATCTGTCAACTATTTTTCAACATCAGTGCATCAACAAACAGAATCTAGATCAGATAAGTTTACTAACAACTTTTTATCATCCCATTATAAAGTCACGATAAAGACAATATTCACTGATACTATGAGAAAATTAGGCAATATTTTTATTTGTTGCTGATTTTATTAATATCATTAAATTTTTTAAATGTTGAATGAATCAAATAAATCTAAATATGTTGGTTTCTGTTGGTGGAGACATTGGTCATCAGCCATGACGGTTCCCTTTAATCCAAATAAATAGATCCTGAGGTAATTTCTGCCTGATCTGGTCTCAGAGGAATGCTGGAACCAAACTTCTCCACCAAATAATATAAATATTTACTAATAAACAAGTTCAAAGAGTTTTCCTTTAAGATCAATCACCGCTGCACTGCAAAAACAATCTAAAGACAAGTCAAAAATGTATTAAATTAAGTGTATTTACCCTTAATTTGAGTATCTTAATAAGATGATATGCCAATGAAATGAGTATTTTTACTCTTAAATTGCACTTAAAATAAGACAATGTTATTGTTTTCTCTAATTTTAAATGTAAATCATCTTGTTGAATTGGTAAATTGTCTCACTTACCTCCTTAATTTAAGAACAAATGCATTTCTTTAATAAAAAATGACTCATTTAGACTTTTTGCAGTGTGTTACCCAGTAAAGTCCTTTTTGATTAAATATAAAAAGTTCATTGACAGGGCCGGTTCTAGGAGTGGATGTTGAGGGCTGCTGAGCACCCAGAGAACTGTGTGCCCACAGACCAAGACTCATTTCGCTCTTTTCTACTCAGATTTCTGAAACTTGTTCAGTGCGTTTTACTAACGACTGACTCCATCATTCCCTAACGCATCGTATCTGAGAGGTGAGCCAAACAAGCAAAGCAAGAAGCTTTTAAATCAACTAATTTCATGCAAACCTTTGAATCACTTTTCATGAAATGAGTTTTCTCTTTTGTGCCAAAATGGTTTCCATGATAAATGTAAAATAATCAACTGAATGAAATGTTTTTATGCTGCTATTCTTCCTTTCCCTTTGCTCCTCTGCTCCTCCTTCTACACACTGTAAAAAAGATCTAGAAATAAGTAAACATTTCTTAAATAAAGTGTATTTACTCTTAATTTGAGTGGGTAAATGAAATGCTTTGCCAATGGAATGAGTATTTTTAAAAGAAGTTATTTAGATTAAATGCACTTAAAATAAGACAATGCAATTGTGTTTTCTTATTTTAAATGTAAATCGTCTCGTTCCATTGGCAAAATATATCCTTTACCTCCTCAATCCAAGAGCAAATGCACTTATTTTAGGAAAAAATTAGTTATCTAGATTTCAATTTTTTCCAGCGCACCTCTCCCTCTTTAGGCTGGTAATCATAAAATGGTTTATAAATTTAAAAACAAGTAACGGAAATAAATGAAAAACGATTTACTAACGATTAGATTAGATACTGATATTAAGTGGTGGCATTAAAGCACCTCACTGGTGAACATTTCACCAACACACCATCAGTAGGTGCAGAAATCTGACTGATCATTTCAGAAACCCCTGAATGCATCGTTTCCCTCAAAGCCTTTTAGTTAAGGAGCTCCATCAGGCTGGTTTACTTGTCTTTTTTGTTTATTATTATTTTTTCTGTTGAACTAGAAAATTATTGAAGGGGTTAAATATGTTTTTTAATTAATTAATGTATAGTTTTTAAGATGTCCTAGTTTCTCTTTTTTTGTTTGTGTATTTTAAAAAGTGCATACAGTACAAAAACTTTAATTTTAGGATTTCTTCAGCTCCCTGAAAATGGGCTAAAAACGCCTTTGGACTAAATAAAAGCTGCTGTTTCTGCAACATTTACCTGTTTTGGTTCTGTGAGTGAACCTGGCAGCTACGGCAAGCTGTTCGTCACTCTGGACAATATTTAGAACAAATTTCAACTTTATTTAAAGGAGGATTCTTTTTTTTTTTGGAATCACAAAATATCTATTAAAAAAAAGAACATTCTGACCATTTAATCTTATCCAATCTTTTGCTATTTTTGGACAAGTTTTATATCCACAGATATAAACTTATTCTGATTAAACCCTCATGTTTCTCTTTTTTAAAGGAAACAATAACTTATGTTTCTTCATCGTTCTCCTCCAATAACAAAAAGGCTGTTAAAACTTAATTCTCTAAATTCAAAAAGTAATTATATAATCCCTTTAAAAAACTTTATTAAACACTATTTTACTTTTATTCGGTTATTTGTTTATGTATTATTATTATTATTTTTGTGGTGATTATTAAATTGTACTAAAATAAAGTGTATTTTAAAAAGAATAAAAAAAAAACACCTAAATAGACTTTTAAAGTGAACTTTTTGTGAATTCTAGATGTTTTTTCTACCTCAACCTCTAAATTTAGTTTTTAAGATGTCTAATTTTTTTTTTTTTTTTCTATTTTAAAAAGAGCATAAAGTATTAAAAACTGCTCATATTTTAGGGGTGTTTTGATTCAAATGAGGGATTTTCTTCAGCTCCCCGGAAACTGGCCTAAAAACGCCAATGGACTTAAAGATTAAAGCTGATGTTTCTGCAACATTTACTCTCAGTCTGTTTCTCACCTGTTCTGTGAGCACACCTGGCGGCTATGGCAAGCTGTCTGTCGCTTCATTCGGGACAATATTTATGACAAATTTTAACTTTATTTTAAGAATGTTTTATTTGGAATCACAAAATTAAAACAGAACTTTCTGACCATTTAATCTTTTGCAACTGTTGGCCGACTTTTATATCCTAAAACGTTAAATTATTCTGATTAAACCCTCGTGTTTCTCTTCTCCTCCAATAATAAAAAGGCTGTTAAAACTTCAAGTATTTATATAATCCCTTTACATGCTTCTATGTGCAGCTTTACTATTTTTACTTTTATTCAGTCATTTTTAATGTATTATTATTTTTGTGGTGTGTGTTAAATTGCAGTTATTATCTTTCCGTATTATAAAGAATTTTCTAATAAAAATATATTTAAAAAAGGAACAAAAAGAACCTAAATAGACTTTTAAAGTGAGCTTTTTGTGAGTTCTGGATGCATTTTCTACCTTTCTCCATCTTTTCAGACTTTATTATCTTTCATTATTATTATTATGATCAGTGTTCTAATAAAGATGCGCTCATCCAGCCGCGCGCACAGACTCACCCACGCACTCGTTGGCCTCGCGCGCCGTGGCTCTCTGCCACGGCCTGTCGTAGTGGAAGGGTTTGCACCTGTCGCACTCCGGCCCCGCGGTGTTGTGCTTGCACTCGCACACCAGGCTGCCGTCCCGGTCCTTGACGCAGCGGGACGCGTGCCCGTTGCACTTGCAGCGGCCGCCGACCTGCAGGTCCGACACGGAGTAGAAGTAGGAGTCCCGCGCCAGCTCCGAGTCGTCCTCGTTCTCGTCGCCGAACGTGTGCAGGCGGCTGAAGGTGATTCTGATGTCCGTGGCCGTGACCCAGTCCTGCAGCACCGGGGAGCTGTCGAAGTCGTGCGCGGACGGGCGGCCGTCCAGCGTGCTGAAGGCGATGAGGCCGCCGCTCAGCGGGAACATGTCGGTGTGGGAGTCCGTGCAAACGGCCTCCTGCTCGTTCTGCTTGGTGATCGCCGCCCTGTTGGGCTTGTTGTACATCTTCCTGCACTGCGTGGAGTAGAACTGGAAGGGTACCCAGGTTTTCCCGTAGTCCATGGACTTGGAGATGAGCATGGACTCGGGGCGCGGGGAGCAGAACTGCAGGCTGACGTAGGTCACCTCAAACTTCTTCCCCAGGGACAGACTCAGGGTGACGTTCTGCGGGAACTGGACGAAGTTGTCGGACTGCCAGCAGGTGAGGTTGTGCGGGTTGTTGAGGTCCGTCAGGTATGCGGGAGGGTGGCCCCGCTTGGGGTCGGACGCGTCGCAGGTGTGACAGTCGCGGCTCCGCTCCTGGTCTCCTTTCTCCGCGGAGGTCACCACGCAGAAGCGGCTCGGCGTCCTGCCGCAGGTGCTGGACACCTTCACCTCCTTCCCGAAGGCGGCGTTGACGAAGTCCGGGATGCAGCGCCGCGGGTTCCCGTGCTCGTCGTAGCAGGGGTCCGGGGGGGCGGTCTGCGCCGCGAACAGGCTCATCATCCCGTAGCCGCCGGACGCGCTGCGCCACAGCAGGGAGGCGGCGAGCAGCGCCGGCAGGACGGCGTCCAGAACCCGGATCATGGTCGGTCTGTGGCTGCAGGAGGGGGGGTCACATGAATTAAACTCATTAGAATAATAAAAAACTTTTCAAGGAATCCACTAAGATAAGATCATCTTACCTAGAAGCGGGTTTTAGAAAATGATCCTCAGATTCTGTTTCTGCTGAACTTCAGAGGCGCTTCTAGTCAGAGTCGCTCCTTCTGCTGCAGGTCTTTTCTAAACTCCTTTCTCTCCCCCTGTCGCTCTTTCTTACAGGGATTTCTGCTTGGACCCATGCATGAGGTCAGCGCATCCCGATGGGGGTGGGGGGGCAGTGGTTCTACCACCAGGGGGCCAGGAGGGGGGCCAGCCTGTTTTCATGGGGGGACAAAAAAGCATGGAATAAAAAAACAGGGCAAGAGATTCAAATATACATAGAGAGCTGCATGAAGGGAAATTTCAATTCCCTTTCCTTGATTTTGACTTAATTTAAGTTAAAGTTACAGTTTTCTCAAGAACTCAAGAAAAAAAAAACTGATAAATTCAGCTTTATTTTTATTATTTGTTTGGGAAAAAATAATTTATCAGATAAAAACTGGGATATATCTCAATCCCACTGAGGCAATCACCTTATTGTTTTTGAATAATTAGTAAAATAGAAATTGTAAAGAAAAAAGAATGAAATAGATCCAAAGGACCAATCAATAACAATGTCTGTTTCAGTGTATATCATCATGAGAATTTGTTTAACTATTATGTTTTCAGTCCAGGGGCCCTGGCCCCCGTTGGCCCCTGTCTGGAACCAGGGCAAGGGGATCATATATATTAATAACGCTGCATGAAGTGAAATTTCTATTCAAATATGTTTAATTAAAATTCTATGCCTTATTAGGTCAATATACATTCAGAATTTAGGAATTTTACATATTTTTGACCTAATTTAAGTTAAAATTACAGTTTTCTATAAAATCTGAATCAGAACTTAAGAAAAGAGCAACAACGTTCACTGGTGGCGCCTTATCAGAAGACAAGGAGACGCTTTTTATCTCCGGAGGAAAACAGCTGGAGCGGAATCAACAGTTATTCCCATTAGATTAGAAACCACATTTATAAGGAAATAAGAAGATATCTCTGCTTTAATCCTTTATAGGGCAACTCCTTGTGTTTCGATTGAATTCAGTCGCCTGTTGCTGCTGTTAATTAAAGCAAAAAAACACTGTTTAGAGTGATGATATGAACATTTGAAGAATCAAAAACTCTTGTTTTCTGTCATAGATGAACCAGGGCTACTAAATAATTAGTTTTTCATAGCTTCATCCACCACAAGCCCCAGATTATGCAGAGATTATATCGAATATAAACTTATCGGGATCAGGATTGGTCCTGAAAAGCAGAAAATTATCGGTTGAAATTGTTGATATCGTGCATCACTAACTAATTTCCCAGGCAGAGGAGACCAGTCAGGTATGACTCAGCTTCATAAAGGATGGAACAGCTGCTGCGTTAATATGTTATATGTTCTGGATATTCACAATAACATCACTAAATTAGGGGATCGCAATAAAGTTACACTTTTTTTAAGAATACCTTATCAAGTTTTAAAATCCACTATTTAATGCAAAAATATACAATGAAATGGTAGTTTAGTGTCAAAATTAACCTAATGTTTATTATTTCTTATCGAGTAATAAAAAATAAAACATCTGCAGCGAATTAAAAAGGCGGGTTGCTCCTTCCATCTCTCTCTAAAGGCCAAAGGTCCTGCAGCAAACCTGTTGCAGGCGGTGAGCAGATGAAACACCGCCATCTGGTGACCATAGAAGGAACTGCACATTTCAATGAGATGTGTTTTACAGCTGAGTCCAGGCGGGGGAGGCAGAGTACAGCTTTACTGAGCGGCACTCAAACGCTGCACTCACACTAGATGCTTTGTGATGCGTTTAAGGGAAGCAGGGATAATCCTCTGTGTGCTTAAAGGGTATTAAAATGTATTAGGTTTGACAGAAATGTTGTGAAAGTTGTTCAGTGACAAGGAGCAGAGATAAATCTGCCCAAAGTCAAGTAATCAACAGTAAACATCTTTTCATTTTTTCTTTTATTGAGCAGTTGTCAGTTGGGCTCGATGCTGTTCCTGGACTTCAGTTCAGCTTTCAGCACCATCATCCCACAGCATCTGATGGGCAAACTGGAACAGCTGGGCTTCAATACACCCCTCTGCTATTGGCTGCTAGACTTCCTCACCAACAGACCTCAGTCAGTACAGCTCTGACGTCATCGGTCTAAGCCCCTCCCCTCAGGGCTGCGTCCCGAGCCCCCTGCCGTTCACCCTGATGACACGACTGCGTCCCCAGGTTGACCACCGATCACATGGTGAAGTTTGCAGACGACGCCACGGCGGTGGGCCTCATCAGAGACGACAACGACCTGGACTACAGAGAGGAGGTGGAGCAGCTGGTGGAGCAGAGATAACAGCCTGATCCTGAAGGTGGAGAAGACCAAGGAGATCATGGTGGACTTCAGGAAGAAGCGGCCTAACCACGCTCCACTGCTCATCAGCAGCTCAGCTGTAGAGGTGGTCAGCAGCACCACATTCATCACAGACACCCTCACCTGGACTGGAAACACCACCTCACTGGTCCAAAGGGCCCAGAAGCGCTTGGACTTCCTGCCCCCCCCCATCCTCCCCCCCCCCATAGAGAGCGTTCTGAGCAGCTGTCTCACTGTGTGGTGTGGAGGCTGCAGCGCCTCAGACTGGAAGAAGGTGAGAACAGCAGAGAGGATCATGGGGGCTCCTCTTCCCTCCATTAAAGACATTTCATCCCAGCGCTGTGTGTCCCGAGCCCGTGACATCATCAATGACCCCTCACCCCCCCACCATGGACTGTTCTCCCTGCTGCCCTCTGGGAAGAGGCTTCGAAGCATTCAATGCAGGACCAGCAGGTTCTGCAGCAGCTTCTTCCCCACCGCCATCAGACTCTGCATCACACTGATAACACCAAATGAAAACACTGCATATTTGCACCATATATATTAATGCTCTGATCAATGCGTTTTTTCTCCCACACTGTTTATATTTAATCACTGTTGCACTTTATGGAATGGAAATGTTCTGAAAGCTGTACAAGACAAAAAAAATGTATAAAAAAATGACAATAAAAGTTGTCCAAGTTCTCACCTTCTTCCAGTCTGAGGCGCTGCAGCCTCCACACCACACAGTGAGACAGCTGCTCAGAACGCTCTCTATGGTGCTTCTTTAGGGGTCGACGATCATCTCCTCCATCTTCTCCACGTTCAGGATCAGGCTGTTTTTTCTCTGCAGCAGCCCCCCCCAGCTGCTCACCTAATCTCTGTAGTCATGGTTGGTGTCGTTTATCCATTTATTTTCTCATTTAATTCATTTCAGGTATTTTAAGAATTTTGCTCCGACTTTATTTAAATTCATGTTTGACTTGAAACCTATGCTGTAGTCTGTGCCTATACTCTGTTATAATCTATGTTTCAATTTTAGCACGGAATCGCTGATATGTGGCGGTAATGTTTGATTTATCTAAAGGTTTTTATCTGTTACTGTTTAAATGGGTTTGGCTGTAATTTAAGGACAGATTCTAATAAATCTGCAGGGGGGAACTATAAATCTGATAGGATTTTTATTCTTTAATTGCTATTTTGCACAATTTGCTTAACAAAGTACTTTTTGTTGTTGAATATTAGAGATTTTGCAGATATATTTTTTATACATACATTGTTTAGATTTACTTATATCTTTCTACCCCTTTTATAGAATAGAATAGAAAATATCTTTATTGTTCCACAATGGGCAAATCCTGGTGTTTATAGCAGCAAAAACATTATAGAAAAAGAAAATGGTCACACATATGTAGACATTAGAAAAATGTATAAGAATAACAAAATAGTGAAGAGTTAAAATATAGACAAAAACAAAATTTTAAAGTGTTTTAACAATATAAAACTGGAGAATAATAACTGACTAAGGTTTCTATCATTACATTTGATTGGATTTCTTCCTGCTCCCGCTGGTTGGAACCTTTATTCCACTCTGGATTCTCATGAGTTTTTGTTCTTTTTACAATAAAAAAAATACAAAAAGAAAAAGAAACAGTTTGGAAAAGTTCATTCTCTTCCTGTTTTGTGTGTGAACTGTCGCGGTTGCTTAGCGACGGAGAATATGGCGGAGAAAGCCGCCGAAGGCTGGACCTGTTTGACCTTATTTTCCAGGACGTCGAAGGATCCAGTCCAGGTAGACCGCATCCTTGGAAGATGGAGCCCATAAATTCAAACGCAGTCTGTGTGCTGCATCACATGCTCAGCTGTGCCTGTCAGGAAGTGATGCTCCATCCATGCCTTCACCTCTGTGCCTCTTGATTCTACGCCGCAGGATTACAGATAGATCTTCTTTATCTTTATCTTTTATCTTTATTCTGAGATTAAAGTCAGAATTCTGACTTTTTTCCCATACTAAACTGAAATACAATTTAAAAAACAGTAAACTTTTTTTTTTTTCCAGTGGCCTTTAATCCTAACATTAAAGTCAGAATTCTGACTTTTTTCTCAGAATTCTGACTTTTTTTATTGTCAGAATTCAGTCGGAATTCTGAGATTAAAGTCAGAATTCTGAGAAAAAGTAAGAATTCTGAGATTAAAGTCAGAATTCTGAGAAAAAAATAAGAATTCTGAGATTAAAGTCAGAATTCTGAGAAAAAAGTAAGAATTCTGAGATTAAAGTCAGAATTCTGAGATTAAAGTCAGAATTCTGAGAAAAAAGTAAGAATTCTGAGATTAAAGTCAGAATTCTGAGAAAAAGTAAGAATTCTGAGATTAAAGTCAGAATTCTGAGAAAAAAGTAAGAATTCTGAGATTAAAGTCAGAATTCTGAGAAAAAAGTCAGAATTCTGAGAAAAAGTAAGAATTCTGAGAATAAAGTCAGAATTCTGTGAAAAAAGTAAGAATTCTGAGATTAAAGTCAGAATTCTGAGAAAAAAGTAAGAATTCTGAGATTAAAGTCAGAATTCTGAGAAAAAAGTCAGAATTCTGAGATTAAAGTCAGAATACTGAGAAAAAAGTAAGAATTCTGAGATTAAAGTCAAAATTCTGAGATTAAAGTAAGAATTCTGAGATTAAAGTCAGAATTCTGAGATTAAAGTCAGAATTCTGAGAAAAAAGTAAGAATTCTGAGATTAAAGTCAGAATTCTGAGAAAAAGTAAGAATTCTGAGATTAAAGTCAGAATTCTGAGAAAAAAATAAGAATTCTGAGATTAAAGTCAGA